GGAAGGAAAAGGCCGCTAAAAATACTACCAACAAAAAATTTATTTATTGGCATCGATCTTGATAGTATGATGTCAAAAATTGAACTACACTGTTTCGGGATACATTAAATTAAAGTTAGCCCGCATTCGGTAACAGAAAACCAAATATCCTATTTTTGAGAATTTTTTAAAAATAAAAACTTGACAAAAATGTGTCTCAAAATAGTTGCCTATAAACTTTATCACCGCATGATTACTCCACACAGCAACATATATCAAAGCCAGTGCGAAAAATGGATCCAATGTCACACAAGCTTTATTTTGAAACCAAGAGAGCAAAATAAACGGTGTTAAAACTATGAAAGAATGGCTAAAATCTTTGACTGGTCGATACAAAATGGCGCTATTTGCATATGTTTCTTTGTAAAATGACAAATTTTGCTTCGAGTTACCTTTCAAGCCTATAAATCCAGCACCTTTCCTCGACAGCACCACACACTTAAAAGTTCAACTGTTTGAATCTTAAGCCTCGTAGTTCGCTGAAGAACTCATCGAAAAACACGACCATTTCCGCGAAAAATCCCCAAAAATATAGCCAAAGCTGAAAGATCTTCGTCTTCCGTCGCCATTATTTGAGTTCGCGTGCCGCTGAGGTCGATAAAATATCGAAAATTTGACCAAAATTGATCATACAGGAACAAAATGTCGCCCATGTTGTTCTCTTTCCTGATCAAGTCACCACAGGCTACCCAAGACTCATCCAAATGTACGCTGACCATTTTTCTGCAGACCCCTTGCGATCGTACGAATTTGTATGATTGCGCACGAAAGGGTTAATTGGAGAAATGTTGAACTACCCTTACAAGAGACCGGAAGGTTATTTGTAAGGCGTTATTGGAGGTAACATAAGGCCTGTTTTCAGGCTTTCCTTCAGTTTTATTATTGTAAACATAGGGATCACTTACAATCTTGCCTGTGTAGCTGGTGGTTTTCTGCTTTGCTGTGTTTGTGGTTTTGTAAAGTAAGATACAGCCATACAGGGGGAGGGAGCGAGGGGAGAAGACAGTGAGAAACACCGCCTGTAGGCAGTTTTTTTCGTCTCTCCTCCTCACCCCCTCCCCCATCATTTTCTCCCTTTCTCATCATTTTTGGCCGTCAAAAATGAAAATCACACTATGCAGCCTACTTATAATCAGATTTATTAAATTTTTACAAGCATTATTGTTCTAACAAATGTCCATTTGACCTCTTATTGACAGTTGAAATGTCGACCTGATGTGACCTTACGGGATGCATTAGCGAAAGGCATGAGAACAAGAGGTTTAACACCTGAAGCATGCGTTGTTTGCCATTGTTCATCTAGGTGAGCGTTTTGCTTTGATACCATATTATAGGGAAGAGAAGGGTGGCATCACATTACCATGGTAACAAAATGTCTGGATCCTAACGTAGAGTCGTTCTTGAAAGAGACGATCATTTGCATTTATGTCTGATGGAAGAAAATTATGGGCTATTGTATCGTTCCCTCACAGTGCAATCATGCTATGGTATGATATGGTATTTTAAGCTGCTCCCCAAAAGTGACAACTTTAATGAAATCCTTGCTTGACTGAGCAGCCATTTTTTTTATAGACAAGAGAATTTTATTTATACTAATATTATGTGGAATTATTGCTTTGTCAGGGATATTATCAGCTGGGACACTGAATTGTCAAGTTTTACAGAAGGCGACGAGGTACCTTACAAATTATATGTAAAAATTCTAGAATCAGTTTGGTTGTGCTGTTACAAGATCATTATTTTAAACCTTTTATGTCGTTTCATGTAATATTGCACAAAGTGTCATTTCTTTGGCCACCAACCAATATTTTATGTAATTTTTTTACTGTATTGTTTACCAGTGGAGCAGTTAATAGGAGTTTTTAAGAACACGTTGAAATGTTTCTGTGGATTCCAGATCAAATTGGAATGTGGAAGTGTTGGTTTTTAAGCAGGGGAATCCAGAGTACCCCGCAGAAAAACCCCTCAGAGCAAGGGAGAGAACCAATCACAAACTCAACCAACGTAATATTTTGTTGTCAACTCTGTAATTCGAACCTGGGCCACATTGGTGGGAGGTTGGTGGTCTCACCATTGCACCACTCACCTCTGTCTCTCCTAGAGAGACTTTTGATTTGACTTTGTATAAAATTGCTGCTTAAGACTGTGGAAAGCAATTCAAGGAAATAGATGTTCAGGTGTATTAACAAAATTCAGTGCCGATACACTGTATGTCTGACTCCAAAATCCCTAGAGATTCCCACATTTATCGTGCCTTGACAAGATCGGTAGATACACTGTACAGTTCTTCTACTCAGAGGCTACAGTTCACTCTGGTTCTTATTTTCAGATATCTGTAGAAAGAATAGAGGACCTTCCAGAGACAAGTTATATTTCCCATAGTTTTGTAAGTTTTATCTTTACCGTTTTCGTGATGAAAATTTATTGTGACAGTCTTTTGTAGATGTGAAAAAATCCACTTAATCCTGTTTATCACAATATTTAAACTTTCAGTTTTTTTACCTACAGGGCTGTCATTAAAAGGTGGAGGTCGGGGATTTTCCCTGGCTGCTATGAACAGGGTCCCAGGTTTCTTTCTTTGGAAATGGAATAAAAATAGAACCAAAAGAAACCCCTAGCTGTTGTATTCCCCATCTGCTTGTTGTATGTACCTGGCAACTCGAAATCTTAGTGACATCCCTGTTTTTAGGTTCTGTATTCCATCATGACATTCAAGTACATTAAAACATACATGTACAGGAGGGATAAGTTGGGGAGATTAGTTGGTGTTTTGCTGGGGGACCACGTACTGTTATCAAGGAAAAACGTATGGTCTTGTTAAGTTTGTTATATACTGTAGATATTTTGAGCAGATCAAGTTAATGGGCTGTCTCTTACATATTCATCTATGTTAAATACTGTTCTTGCACATTACAGCTAATTGAGTCTTGGCTGTGCTCTGAGGAAAATTGAACAGAGGCCATTGCTATGAACCCGTAAAATCTAGGGTGCCCAGCATATGATTTGTATGAAAAAACTAAGATTTTCTAGTCACCTGAGAGCAAGAGTGGGCTCTGCACACACAGCCTTGTGAGTGTTTCAGTAACGTATCTCTTGGGCACCACTTGTTCCTGGTAACAGTATCAATAAAATACTAAACCTCTTTTTTCAGACAAGGAAGACATTTTTGACTTTCCCACCATGCGACAGTTGCAAGCAGATTCTAATAAAAGGATTCAGGTTTGGCAACTTCTTTGCTTTCACCAGGTCGACCAAATGAATTGGGGTTATTTTTTGCAAGCTAAAAGCTGCACCACTGTTTTAGAGATACTGATTTTAGAATTTTTTCTTTAGAATTTTATTACAATCCTTATTATTTGATAAGAAATGTACCCCTGCAGGTTTCTTGAGCATGAAGGAGGTGTCGCCCCTTTTATAAAACAAGGAAAATTTATACATTGTATTCTCCACGCATTTCTCTTATTATTATTTACATGTTACTTTGTTGTAATGCTAATAAGATGAATTTGCTTAAATATTTAAGAATAGTAGTGCTTTATGAAAACCTGACTTTTTTAATAAGTATTATCCTTTCTTTGTTGCACAATTTGCATAGGTGTCAAACTTGTGGTTACAAATTTCATCAACGTTGTGCCGGAACAGTTCCTCCATTCTGTGGCCAAGCTGTTGTTGGGTGAGTGGGGTGAAGCCCTTTAACCTTAATATCATAAGAGGTAGATCTGCAAGTGCTTACTATTGTGAGATCAAAGTTTTTTATCGAGACTCGCGCACATAAACTGTCACGGGATTTGAAAAATAACAGCTGGGCTAAAAGTTAAGTCCCAAGAGTTACCCATGTCAAGATTCTTCTGACATTATTAATACATTATCAACAGTAGCTTGCGTAGCAGGCGCCGGTTTGTTATTTTTGGGCAAAGGAAGAAATCTCCAGGATGCACAAGGGGAGTGTGCGTGTTCCTCTCTTGTGGCCTTTAACAAAAATAACTGGCACCTGCTATGCAGGCTACATCAAGAGTTCTAAAAGGCTATGAGATTTGATAAAAATGATGATCTTCTAAGTGAAAATGCTGCTATCGTTTCTCAAATTCTCTCAACTACAGTAGTAACTACCGTAGTTCTTATGGAGATCTGTCTGGAGAATTTGTATGTTGATATTCGGGCTTAAAGTATGATAACAAGTGATGGCTCTGCACCCACGCCAAGTATTTTTGTTAATCGTTGTTAGTTGGAGACTAGTCCTGGGGTTTGAAAATCAAGAGCCTTATTGTTGCTACAATCGGCGACAAAATTATCGAGACATTGTACGTAAATAGGGTAACATCGGAGAACAAAAGAATCCACACCCCTCCCCTGTCGCCTCCATTCAAAGTTGGGGTGTTTGTTGTTTTCTATAGGTAGCTAGAACAAGGGCACAACATTGCATGGAGGGGATGGGGGAGGAAAGCTATATTTCCTCCTTTTGAAGTCCATAAAACGTAGAAAAGCCCAGTTTTGGGCGAAGTGTCTCAACTCATTTTGTCGTCGATTGTAGCTTGGCAGTGTTGTAACTGTAGATTGTTGTTGTTTAGGGAAGAAGAATGCCATTTAGTTTTGCTTGATAAATTTCTGGAAAAGTGGAATAAGCTGAAATTGTTAGTTTGGTCATCTTGCCACTAAACGTTTGCTTTTCTGCACATTGCGTGAACACTGCAGTCATTACATATTTATAAGTGTTTTATTGCACTCTAATGCTCCAAAGGTTATTTATTTATTTATTATTTATTTACCCATATAGCAACCCCTCAAAAAGAGGATTATTAGCCATTGAAGGCTAACAGCTTAGGTTAAGCTGTTTGAAAAGAAAACAAACAAACATATAAACAAAAAACTAGGTATTACCAGGTTTAGAGTGTTTGGGTAATGTATGAAACACTTTTTTATGCGTTTGTCGACAGTGATGAGTAATCTTCAAGAAATTCTAGGGGGAATTAATGAAATTTTTTGGTGACTGTTTTTTAATTATTATTAGTTCCTGGTTATTTATCAACAGTAAAATTTATTACCTTCCAAAATTCTCATGCCATTATTGGAATGACTTCCTGCCACAGAGCAACTTTGGAAAAAAGGGGCTTTTGTCAAAGGACCCTTTGCTAAAGTGATTTGCTTTATTTTCTCCTCGCTAATAATTTATTGAAATTTTTTGGTGACTGTTAATTAACTAATTCCTGGTTATTAACAATAAAATTTATTACCTTCTGCACGACTTGACCGGTTACCCGGTGTTGAATATTTCAGGTTACTTTCAGAGCTACCCGCGTTTATTCCAGATGATCAGAGCTCAGAAATGTCGGCAAGTGAATCGTTCGCCATATCAAGGGAACGCTCAGTATCCGCACCAGACGTCTACAGAAGTCGAATCATCAGTGGGCATGCTCCTTTGGTTAGTAGGGACGCAATGACTTGGGGGCGAAATGATCTGTAACTATTGTAATTGTGGTCGTTTCGCCCAAAGACGTCTTGCCCCATGTAAAGTCTTCTATTCTGGATTCCACGCCGTTCGTTCCGGATTACAGGCACTGGATTCCGGATTCAAATTGTTAGCGGGATTTCTGATACATTGAGCTGAATTCCGAATTTTCCAAAGGCTTGGATTCCGCATTCCGCAAGCACAAATCTCACAGATTCTGGATTCCATAAGAAAGAAATTAAAATTTTCCGGATTCCGGAATCTGGATTGCCGTACACGGGGCAAGACGTCTCACCCGGACTTAAGTTGACACGACACTTAGTACTTCTCAGAGATATTACTTTAGTTAAGCTTGTATTCCATTTCTACGATTTTGAGAAACGTCCATCGATTTGAATATTTATTTACTCATTTATGTATGTTTCTTATGGAAGTTAGGCTAGGAGAAAGAAGTTTAAAACTTTTTATGTGTTGTTGATTCTTTTCAAAGGAACCCTTTGTTCCAACATTTGGAAACGATGGTGCCTGCACAGTATCAGGTATGTTTTTGGATGTTTAATTTTCGTTTTTCAAAAGTTACTTCTTGTCTCTATACTAAAGCAGTACACTAGAAATATCAAAAAAATGCCTAGCGCAGCCAAACTATGTCGATAAAACGAAGAAAAATGTATTGAACGACTATAAAAAGAGTAAGGTGCAGTTTGTACATGAACGTCAGCAGGCCAGGCCCCGTCTACACGAATTCGGACACTTTTCAGTGGTGGATCCAAGGGAGCGGTCCTCCCCCCTTATTTTTTCTGAGGCCCGAAGGGCCGGAAAAAATTTTTTTTTTGATACTGCTCCCCCCTTCCCCCCCCTTATCTGAAGGTCTGGGTTCGCCACTGCTTTTGAAACCGCAAAACTCGGTTTCACTCGGTTTTTCACTCGGTTTCACTCGGTTTCGTGTGGACGGGGCCTTTAACCTCCATGGAGAGCGTTCACACAAAGAACGTTCGTGTGGGCGGAAAGTCGATTCGCGAAACAAAAAATGAATAAAAATGAAACAAAATAAAAAAAAATTCGGGGACACTGTACCGCTGAACGAGTATTAAATTTTGAATTTTTTCTTCCCGCAGGTGTTGAATCAAGCCAGATACTCCAAAGAAGGCATAGCCGGACCGTCAGTGTTGGCGCCGCTAATCCAAGACCGTTTACAGACAGCAAGAACAGCGTAGTTCCAAACAACTTGCACCCGAACAACAAAATTGAACAACCACATACAATGTCCGTTCCGAATGGGACCGTCATGAGTGAGCGGCCATCCAGTCCGCAGAAACCCAAAAGACCGGTGAGTTGCAGATCAGAACTTATAGGCTTTTACATCTTTATTTGAATTACTGTATTGCTTGCTTTTGTTGTGCGTTGGAATCGTGCTTTCAAAGGCATAAATGGCGAAAGGAAGACTGGAAGCTTAAGGGTTCGTGATAGATTCTTCCAAAAGTTGACAACCAGTAGTTCTTATAGGGAGCTCAAGCATCGACGACAGCGACGGCAAAGAAAACAGTAAAAAAGCAGTAGGTTTAGATTGACAAAACAACAGCTTTGCACGTGCATCACGCTTTTTTTTTTACATTTCTTTGCCGTCACTGCACGACCATAACGTTCACGGTTGAGGACGGGAAGGCAAGACAAAAACTTTCTTTTTCTTTTCCTGAACTTTGATACAGTGTTTTAGAATTCAACTCCAAAAACATTTGTCAACATTTGACGAAGTAAACGAGATGGAATAAGCGCGATAAAGTTTGAAGCAGCGCGACTTCACTGTTTTAGTGACGTTTTAAAAGCCTTTGCCGTCGTTTTTGCTTAAGCTCCCTATCTACCCTCTAAGCCTCAATATCCACATACAAATTCTCCAAACTGATCTCTATACATTTCCTTAAAGAATGTGTTGAGAGAATTTGATAAAAGATCAAAGCATTTTCTCGTAGGTGATCAATTTATTAATTCTTATAACCTAATCTCTGGACAATCTATGGATATGGTTAGGAGAAAATTGATATTGGTCACCACTAGGACTTAAAGGGTTAAGACTGGAGGTTGAAGGGAGGGGGGTAGCAGTGAGGGTCGGGGCAGGGAGGGAGAGTTTTCTTTTCCTTCTTTCTCCGATCCATCTCCGGTTTGGACCAGCTCCCCTCAGCCTCTTCCTTTAAGATTCTGTTAGAGAGCTACGAACTCAACCGCGGCCACCCCGTGAAACGTTTTGCCCAATCACTGGTCACGTTGACAGGTTAAAATTTCTGAATCGATAGCCAATCAAAAGCGTCGCTGGCCCCGGTGAGTTCTTTGCAATGCGAGTAGTCACTGACTAACGACGTGTCCAGTTCTTTCTACTGTCAATCTAAACTAAGCGGCCCTTAGCCATTGTGCAAGCGCTACCGTCTAACATAGGTTTGACTGTATTAAATGAGGGTAAATGCAAAACAAGGTCTGTTACTTCTTTTTTTGCTTCAGATTCAACGATTACGAACCAATTCTACAGATGACTGGGAAATCCCTGAAGGAGAAGTCCACAGGGGTCCACGGATAGGATCAGGTTCATACGGGACAGTATACAGAGGGACATGGCATGGTATGCTGGATTTTTTAAGACAGCAACTGGCCCGTGAATACGGCTGAGGTCCATTACCATTTCGAGCTTAACTCTTTCAGGTCCAATAGCAAAATAGGCAACAATTTGAGCTGCGTAAAATTCTGATCGCTTCTATGGCATCAAAGCTTTACGAAGGGAACAAAAATTGCCTGTGTTGCGTAATTCAACCGAATGGGAAAACAATGACTTGCAAGATCACTTTCCGAAGTAGGACCGAGGCTTCACCAAACATGACAATTTGAAGTGGTTGGTAGAACCTAGGGTACTCTGCCAGCGGAGCTTTTCTTTCGCTTGCTCAATTTTGGCGTACTCAAGAAAGACTCTGCACGAGTAACATCTTTGTTGAGCATGCGCGGCATGTTGCTAGGATATAGTTTCGAACCCAGGCCTCGTGCACTTGGTATAGTTGGCTCAGTTACGACCATCGGTTTATCAGTGAACAGAAGCTTGCACTCGAAAAAAAAACCTGTTTGACGAGAGAAAACACGATTGGCTAGTCCAAAAAATCGGGCTGCGGCCACTTTAAAGGCTTGACGCGATTCGGGCATAGTGTGCTTTTCTTCTTTTCGGTCAAGAAGAAGACAAGAGGAGGCTTTGCACGCAGGGAGGAACGAGGGGTCCTCACTTCAGTTCAGAACTTATCGGTATGCATAACATGCTATTCATTTTTTTTATTAATGTGTTTGTATGATAGGCGCTGTGGCTATAAAAACACTGAATGTTTCAGAACCCAGTCCACAGCAGTTGCAGGGATTCAAAAATGAAGTCGCTGTATTAAGGTGAGTGACAGGAAGTGTGTACAGTAGTCTCCTGCGCAGACGTCCGTTTGGCTTGTCACGCACTTGAGAAGATGCGTTGCGTGACGAGCCTAAACCCTGGGCCTGGTTCTTGAAAGGTAACCTGCGATCACGCGCTCTTTTTTTTTCGCGGGGAAGCGCTAAATTCGGCGACAGGAAAAGGAAGACGGACTTCCTGATCGCGGGTTACTTGAAAGGCTGATTAGTATTAATCCAGGATTGGAATCTTTAATCTATAACTGCATTTACCTTCCTTTATATTGTGTAGAGGATTATTTTGCGTTACCTTAAATGGATCTTGGGGTAAAGGCTCAATAGTAGAGTGATTTAGCAACAGAAGGAGAACGTCATTACACTACCGAAAGACGCGCGGAGAGGACTGAGGACAAGCCGGTTTTTAGGACTGGTCAAGCCGGTTTTTAATTTGCGCGCGCCGCCGTCACTGCCGTCCCGTTTGCCTAATGTATTTTATAAGTTTCAGTTGCATGTTCTTAGAAAAGGAAGCTTTGCTTAAAATTTGGCTTTTCCCTGGGTTCAGTTAACTTAATCGTCTTCTTGGACCGGCCCTGGTTTTCAAAAGCATGAGTCTCCAGGCTTCCCCTGGGGGGGAGAGGTATGCTGTCTCTTTGTCGGTCATTTTTGAGACTGCCTGTCGCCTGGTTGCTCAGGAAAAATCAGTCTTGTCTCGAACGAAAACGAGCGCGGACGCAAGCTGTTGCACAGGAAAAGGAAAAAAACTTACCACTCATAATGCCACCCATAATTTCGCATTTTGGGGAGCAAGGGATGGCGCAGTGCTGAGAGCACTCGCCTCCCACCAATGTGGCCCGGGTTCAAATCCCGGCGTCGACGCCATATGTGGGTTAAGTTTGTTGTTGGTTCTCTCCCTTGCTCCGAGAGGTTTTTCTCTGGGTACTCCGGTTTTCCCCTCTCCTCAAAAAGCAACATTTTCCATTTCCAATTCGACCAGGAATCAGGTAGACGAAGAACCACTATGTGGATGTGCTACCTGCAAATCGTTATTTATTTATTTTGTTTTTCTCTTTAGAAAAACACGCCATGTAAATATCCTTTTATTTATGGGCTGCATGGCTAAACCTGAGCTTGCTATAGTGACCCAGTGGTGCGAAGGTTCCACCTTATATCGTCATATCCACGTCACAGAAAGCAGATTTGAAGTTCTGCAGCTACTCGACATTGCGAGACAAACAGCGCAAGGGATGGAGTAAGTGACCATCTCTAAGTCATTAGAGATGTTAAGCAACCACGAAGCGGACGGCAACGAAAACACCACTTATAAAATGAATTTGTTCTCTTCCAAACGTCATCGTGATTATTCCAATTGCTCAGAATTTTCTTGGAGCTGAATTCTAAGGGACCGCAACAAGGCTCGGTAGGCAAAAAAGCAACTACAATCTTATATTTATGTTCTTCGTAAAACTTTGTTTACAGAATTTTACATCTTAGTCGACGCACGTGCAGAGTTGGTGTTTGGTTTAAAAAACTATTGCCTTTTTGATGTTTTCGTTGCCGTTTTCGTCTTCATCTTCGTTGCTTAAAGAGCCTAATATATTTACGCAATCATGGTACATGTACCGTTAATTATTTTAGTCCATAAATCTGGACCTTTGGCGAAATTTCACCAAATTTGTTATTTGTGCTTAAGTCATTTTATTCATCATACACGCTTCCCTCTTCCGAAATCTCGGCCTTTAGCAAATTTTGATCACAGTCGACATATTTTTTTCATCGATTTCATAGCTGATGACACTCCCGCTCAGATAATACGCACATATCTGGACCTTCGAAAAAATTTCGTGTTTTAGTGAAGTTGAACCAAGTAATGATATCATTGATTGGTTCATCCCTGATAACGTTTATTTGTGGTTATTTCTTAATGTCTTGTTTTGTGTGTCCACAGTTATCTCCATGCAAAGTCCATAATTCACAGAGATCTCAAAACAAATAGTATCCTTGAACAATCGCGGGTATCGTTGTAGTGATAGACACTTAAAAAAATGCTTGTCCCACGATATGGGGTGATTAAAGAATTACAGCATTGCTTGACTGGGAAAGAAGCCAACTAACGTTTGCGTTTTTTGCTGCCGTCAATCATCTTTCTTTCAAAATTTACTTTAACGGGTGGAAAAGTTCGTTAGCCTATGAGTACAGCCGTCTCTTGCCGCTCTGTATTCGCAGGCTGAAAAGTCCATGTTGGATTTCGATCCGTTTTGTGAGTTTCTGTGTTTCAAGGTTCTTTGCTTACGATAGTAATCATGATTGACAGCAAAAAACGCAATTATGAAGTTGGATGTTAAATTTCAGAGTTCGCTTGGTTTTTAAAGACGCAATGAAGAAGACTGAACTGTACGTAAATGGCGGGATAGTTAAGTAAAGTAATAACAATATTCTGCTGCGGGTCGTTGCCGTTACACGTCGAAATCCTTGACTCTGTTTAGACATTTTTCTCCAGGAGGATTTGACTGTCAAAATAGGTGATTTCGGTTTAGCTACAATCAAGTCACGCTGGAGTGGAAATCAGAATTTTGAACAGCCGTCTGGGTCTATTCTGTGGATGGTAAGATTTTTAGTCAGATAAAGAGGATGCAAACTTCAGTTAACCCCTAACAGTGCCTTAGTAGATGGAAAATCCCCAACTTTTTTAAAATATGAAAAAAAAAATAGAAAGTAATACAGTTTGGCCAGAATAATTTCAAAATCCAATAAATACGATACAGTTTGGCCTCCCCGCCCAGAATAATATTTAAAATTCCAAAAATAAATATGAAATGCAGACGCGGATCGTTTAAACAAGGGGGAGGGTGCAGGGGCATGCGAATAGGACTCAAACTATCCCTTACAAAGGGCACATTTCGTTTGAAATTTATCTAAGACGGGTCTTATCTAAGAACAGCCCCTAACACCTGTTCTTCGATAAGACGCGCCTTAGCTAAGTCGCGTCTTAATATGCCGTTTATACGGGACAGTCTGCGTCTTATCTAGGATGCGTCTAATGGCGATTTTACTTTATTTTATAAACACCAATGAAATAACAGTTGAGCTTTAGCGCGAAACATGATATCTTCACATGTGAAAGTAACATGTTATGATCACCGTTGCTGTGGCTACATAATAGATCGCGCCTTTCGCAGCAAAAATATTAAAGTGAAATGTTTGGTTTTTCATTGGTGTTTATGTAATAAATAGAACATAACATGACCGCTTGGAGATAGGAAATTTCTCTTCTCTTGTTGTAAAATAATTCACTGGCTCGCTGCGCTCACTCGTGAATTATTTTTCAACGCTGGAAGAAAAATTTCATACCTTCCGAGCGGCTATGTAATATCCTCTATATATTCATGACTGATAGTGGATATGTCGTCCTTGTTGTTGATGCTCCATAGGCGCCTGAAGTGATCAGAATGAAGGACCCAAATCCTTTTTCCTTCCACTCGGATATTTACGCATATGGTATCGTGCTTTACGAACTGCAAACGAGTTCTTTACCTTATGCACACGTGGGCAACAAAGACCAGGTACTAGCTACTAGTATTTTCCTTTTTTTGTTCGAGTGTTGTACTATTATTGCAATAGTATTAGACCAGTATTGTACAACCCATGTGAGGTAATAGCGAGGTTGCGACTTTTCGCAGTGCACTTAAACATACAGCATGGGCCTCGTTTTTTTTTTCTCCTTGTTTTTCTTTTTGTCACAAGGCAAGCAACATAATACTTAACAAAAATATACTCTCTTTTTTGTAACTAACAGCTTGCACGTTCGTCTGCAAGGCTACATGTAACACATACAGTGCGTCAAACTTAGAAAATAATTTTTCCCATACTAGACAGGTATTTTACCGTGCGTAGGGTTTTACAAAAGGATCCTGAGTTAGCTTCGTTTTGCGTGTTTTTTTTTTTATTTATTTATTTAAGTTTAAAATAACTTTGAGTTATTTTTGGTTTCGATCCATTTGTTTGTGTTCATTCTTCAGATTCTTTACATGGTTGGTCGAGGTTACCTGAAACCAGACTTGAGTAAACTTCGGACTGACATACCGAAAAGTTTCAAGAATCTTTTAATGGATTGTATCAAGTTCAACAGGGATGAACGTCCTCTTTTTCCACAGGTACGTTGTTATGACATCAACAAAGCTTCGCCTAAAACTGCGCGGCCGGCAGCCGCGTCCCTTGCGCTTTTTCTCAACTTTTGACCCGGACAAGCTCCCCAAAATTAGTAAAATTGCCCAGCTTGAAAGTGATTTGTTGAAAGCTAAGGACGATTCAGCTCCTCAAAGTCGCGAAATTTTATAGACGTTTTTATGGGGGAGGGGGGTGGGGCAGAAACTTGCCCCCACCCCACCATACAAACGTCTGTTAATTTTTGCAACTTTCCGGAGCTATATCGTTGCTCGCTTAAGACGTGTCACTTTCGAATTTGGCCGTCTTACGTCTTTTAAGGCGGCTTTCTTACGTCTTTTCAAAAGTTGAGGCGCAGGATCTATTGAACGTTAGTGGTAGGTCGACGTCCTCTTTTCCAGAGTTCCCATTAACTGACAAAAACTACATGACTTTTTTCAAAATCCGGGGACTTTTATTTGAAATCAATCTTCCCGCGCGTGGTAATTTCCGGTAAAAAATGCACTTCCGGTTCTCAATTGGAACGTTTAACAATGCTCAAAACGGAACTTTTTGCACATTGTATATTTCTGATTCTTTAAAAGTTGCATTGGTAATCGTTCATTCGCAATTGCGCGTTGGGCATATGGGCATACGGAACGCACTGCAATTATTTCTTTATTGACCGCAAAACAATAGCTTCCTGATGTGCAATTGCGGAAGTATTTTTAATGAATTTGGACTTGGTATACATAAACAGACTTTTTGTATTCTCTATATCCTCTTAGGCATATGTACCCTTTTTTTTAGCGCACTTTTTCCATTCAAAATGACAGTCTTAGCAAACTCGTGGGCAAGTTTGCGGTAATACTATGAGAAACTGTTCCGTTAAAAACAGGGTTCTAAATTCCAAGAAAATGCAGATGCAAGTCGCCTTAAATGAGTCCTAAGCACGGTTTTTTGATGGAGCTGCGAGCCACAATGCTCTTCTGTTTCTTTATGTCTTTTCTATCTGGGGTTTTGTCTGTTTTTTCACTGTACGCGAATGGAGTGGCGGGGAACGAATTTCACACATGCGTACAACACAACGGTCTCCTGTTCCATCCCCTTGCTCCTAGGGTTGTAGCCAATGGTTACGGTGTGCGGGCAAGATCGATCGAAGGTCAAACGCTCTTACTCCAACGCTGTGCTTTATTTATATTCAATTTTTTTTTCTTTAGGTCCTTACTTCGTTGGAGTCACTCATTCGTTCAATGCCGAAAATTCACCGAAGTGCTTCCGAACCCAGCTCCCTAAATCGTTGGGGCAGGATGACGTCGGAAGTGGGCTTTTTCGGTGTTCCACCCGAGACTCCAATCAGTCCTTTCGGGACTTACCAACCGTTTTTTACTGCAGTATCAGGCTACTAAATAACGCGGGTATCGTTTGGATGGATGGTTGGAATCCCATGAAAAATGCGCCAAGCAACATTTCCCGTTTCGAGAAGTCGCACAATAAAACCCATGTTGGAAAGCCTGGTCGAGAATGGACTTCAGCACGCCTGGAATGAACAGACCGCGTAGACCTGGCGATGCTCACAGTCACTGGTAAGGAAAACCATCGTCGATTGATCGGCAGATATAAGCCACTTATATGCGAAGTGTAAAAAGACGCTTACTTCATGCCAGAATATAAGCTGTACGCTTGTGTGCAGTGCTTATTTTCTGAAATTCTGTCGCACTGACAATGACAGGAATACTTGTCCTGAGCTACGGAGAGGAAAGAATATCACTGATTTCAATTTAACTGAGTTTGAGTTTAAAGTTCGTCCCGAAGATGTGAAACTTAGGGAAGGAAAAAATATATTTGATGTAAAATTACACGCAAGAGATTTAAATTATGCCGTCAAGGCGTGTTTTTATAGAATGGCGTGTAGACTAACGCCGAGGAACGCGTTCATTCCGCGGAATGAAACTTTAACGATTTTAAACTGTTTATAGAATTTTCCTCATTGGGGTTTTTGGCAATCTCAGTGAAATTAGCTAAATGAAATAGTCATTATATAGTGTAAATAGTTTTGCCTGCTGCCACGCCTTGAATACGGGGCATAAAGCATTTGTCACGTTTTATAGAGAAAGAACAAAAATCCAATCGTCATTCGGGCGCGTTGACTTTGCTAAAAGTTCGTTTATGGTGTGACGTAATAGATTCGGTCCCTATCTATGACATTAGTAAGCAGACGTTTTTTTACTTTTTATCTGAGCATCGTAGGTAAAAAAAAATCTGGCCTTAACGTCCTAAATTTTCATGTTGCCTGTATGTAGATGAGTGTTCGTATTCAGGGTTTTATCTAAGAATTGACCACATGGGTCGACCACATGGGTCCCCTTGTGACACGGGACAGGGTCCCCCTGTTTCAAGAAGGAGGGCCCAAACAATGTGACATTTTTTGCCAACTGGTTTGAAATTTCTTTTCTTCTTTGTTCTGCTTGTTTTCCTTTTTTATTGTCTTCATGCTAATTTTCATCTTCGCTACCATTTGACCAGTAAGCTCGAGTATATTTTCAGTTATTACTTAAATTATCTGAAAAAGTAAAAAACTTTTTCGTGACTCTATAGCTCGTTAAAATAACTAGGGCGTGGTTTATCTTCCTTTTCATCCTTGGATTAAAGGTTGACTGCATGTAGTTGTGCTATTTTCAACACAAGTAACCGGCAAATTTGCTGTTGAAGTTTGTCATTTGTGTTGCCGAACTTTTTTAACGATCATTCGCTCCCAACTTGAAAACTGACATAATCACACGTCATTCCTGGTCCTCACTTTATCATCAAATCCTTCATTTAAGATCTTTTCCGCGCCCCATTTGCTGCACCTACATAAATTGTGTGCGGCACTATATTCAAATCGCGGAAGTTCCATAGAATATACCCTATACGAGAGTGTTCATATACACTACCCGTTGGGCAGAACCGACAGGAGGCAATGGTTAATATTGTGAAGCTTCTGTTTTAGTCTGCATAGAAGGCCGTGGAGACATTGAGTCGATCTTAAACATCTGAAATGCCTTGCCCACCGTCGTATGCATTCATACTTAAAATCAAAATCAAGTGAGTTTTTACTTTTTCGTTCTACATGAGATTTCTGCTCTGGAAGTTTGACCATTTCACTACCAAAGCGGCCAGAGTCAACATTTAAATACATTTCCAAATTTCACTTTGTAAAATTCTGAAAAACAAATGGCATCATGTGAAAGTACGGTGGAAGAGGTGTCATTTGAATGGTCACACCATAGGATTTCGTCCACAGACTCAAAAGATAGAACTACAAACTAAACAAATACCGGTAGTACTATGTGAAAGTACTGCCAAGTAGAGGTTTCATTTGATCAGACGCTGTGTTCCAGTGTTTTGCTTGTTGCTTCCGTGTCGTTTTTCAAATTCCAAAGTTTGGTAATGACTTTTTTTAAGCTTTTGGTACTGCTACTTGTTCTTTCCTAGTGTAGATGTCTTTGAATAGTCGGGCCCCGTGTAAGGGAATCCAGATTCCGGAATCCGAGAAATTTTAGCTCGTGGAATCCTAGTCTACGTGTAGCCACACCCTCCCCCCGACAAAGGAAAAACGGAGAGATTGGGGAGGGTGCGGCTACACGTAGGCTAGTGGAATCCGGAATCCTGGAAATTTTGCTTGTGGAGTCGGAATCCGTAATACAGCTCAAGGAATCCGGAATCCCACTAACACCTTGAATCCAGAATTCAGTTTTCACTTACAAAGACTGGAATCCAGTACCAGTAATCCGGAATAAACGGCGTGGAATCCAGAATCCAAGACTGCCTTGGATTTCCTTTCATGGGGCGAAAATAGCGTGCGATTCACGCTGGTTTTGCGTTGGCCTTCGCGCGAGGAGGTACCACCCAACGCCAAACCAACTCGAAACCGGCGCCAAGGCCCAACACGAAACCCTGTTCGCAGGCTTGTCTTCGAAGAACTCCCTTTTTAAATAGGCACGGAACCTGCGAGACAAAATTTCAGGTCATGCTTACGATTAGCTTGTGTACAGCTCCCCCTCCCTTAAAAAATCGGGGAGAGAGGTGTCTGTGACTTGCCAACGTTAATCGTGTTCTTATCTCTCCCCGAATTTATTTGAGAGGAGAGGACGTCTGTACACAGGCCAGCTTATGATAAAAAGAAGTACATATATCAGCAGGGGACTCTTGAGTAAATGACTAAATATTTTAATGAAACGTCATATTTGTGTAAAATTTGCTGATGATGCTCTTAAATGAAATCGCTGGTGGCCGAAAGCATCATTTCTTAACTTATAAAAATTGTATATTTTAAATATTTAACGACACTGTAAACAATACAGTAGCATGGAGATTATAAAATTCGGATCACATCTGCGCTTGCTGTGTTATTGTTTCTAAAATAGGGGAGTAGGGAGTGAAAAGAAAAAAAATTCCTTCGATCCTGTGAGGAGTATTTTCAACCTATCTGAAATTCGAAGTCTCCCAGCCAGTCTATCACTGGAATCCTCCGTAACACTACTAACCGTAACCCTAACCCATTTCCTCCCCCACCCCACCTCACCCCTAACCGTAAACAAAGGACAAAGCACATAATGCACGCAAGGGCAAATTTACGTTAAAGTCATTACTTGTTTATAATTCAGTGGAGTATAAATAAAGTTCATGTAGGAAATTAAATCAATCGTACAAGTAATACCCCATTAACAGACTCGCACGAAATTATATACCGTATTAAGGACAGCGAGGTCAAAAACTATACCCTTTCCAGCACCACTGATCCCCGTATAGGCCATGTAAGTGAGTTCCATCTCCCTTGGAGCTAGAGTCAACCAACAATTCCAAGTAAGTTTATTTCTTCCTTTCATGTAACTAGTCAGTCAAAGCCCGTGCGCATACAGAATCTTCAAGTTTTCAAAATGCATTAATTTAACTGGTGTTGACTGACAGATAAGTGTTTTGTTGTTGTTGTTGTTGTTATTGCTGCAAAACTTTTGGTACTGTCTATCATTTACGTGATTGCTAAGCCAATATTTGGCCCAGTTATACAATGTTCCATTTTCGTACCAAGAGCTTGTAAATACTTGTTCCATCAGTGTACTTCTCCACAGACAAGGTCAATAACATAATTATGATCATCATTATAAGACATAACTTACAGGGCCAACTAGGCAAGAACTATTATTTTGACATAAATTTGATATATTTAACAATATTTTTTGAGATCGAAGTGAATAGTAGAGCGAGGGAAACGCGAGCGCGCGTGAAAATCACTCCACTCCAGAAAAGGCGATACGAAAATTTTTCTCTCTTTCCACCGCGTCTCCCCTTTCTCGCGTGGGATGATTTTCACGCGCGCTCGCGTTTCGCTCGCTCTACTATCCCCGAGGACAAATGGGGGACTACTCGTAGTCTACGTTTTTCTCTGTAGTGATGAAAATTGCTTCCAGCTGCAGTTAATCACTTCACAATAAAATCACGCTGTTTAAACACCATGAAGTCTTTTCCCGGGGTCTTTTCGTACCTTCAGAAACGTCAACACAAGGATGTTTTCGTTTGTTCAAAAAAAGTCCGAAGACTTTGGCAAAACATCTAGTCCACGACAGCGAGTTTGTTTAATTTTGCTTTTAAAATAAGCTTATTCATCGTCTAACGCGGTGAATATAACGTTTAGTCAATTCCACCTTTTGCCCCATACGTACTTTTTGCGACGGTGAATTTTTCCCTTGGATGGCAAAGGGTGGGGACTCTGAGCTGGCAAATCCCCGGGGTGGGGAAGAGGGGCAAATGGGTATTTTTCCGTGGGTAGTGCAACCCGGGAATCCAATTTGGCAAATAGTGTCTTTAAAACGATTTTTTGTTTCAAAATTCTTTACCCCGTTCTAGAAATGGCCCAATTTTTTAATACTTCACGTTCGACGAATTCGCAGTTTATAACCGAAACCCGGGGTTTTTAGAAATTGATATAAAATTTTTTTTTTTTAAAAGTTTGTTAAATTGAAATAGTAAATATGAAAGGGTGTTTTTTAAAAAATATTTCTTTAGTTGTTTGATTATACATCAAAAAAATGATTTCTTCATAATCAACAACAATTTTAAGCAAGGAGATAAAGTACAGTGATCCACAATTTATTTTTTGACAGATGAGCCAATCTCCTTTTTTTCTAAACCAGGTATTAATTCTGATAGGAAACCGCGTTCAAAAGCTGGGGAATGGCGGGGGGCGGCAAATGCCCGGTATAGGTAATGCAAATGGGAGGACTGACAAGGCAGGCAAATGCCCCAGTAGCCCGGGGCGGGGGGGTGGAATTGACTGATATTAGGGCATACGTCTTTTGCGACGGTTAATTTTTCTTAAGAGGGAAAAGAGCCGTTCGCCGGCTTTCTTTTGATCACGACATTCCGAATGTTGACATTCTAACGTGCCATCCTCAGCCGCACAAACAATTCCGGCTGAGCCTGCGCAGTACGGACTGGAAGACAACTAATAAGACCTTTTCTGAAAAGTGTGGCACTATAGAAGCGGAGATTGAAGGTCAAGGCGATTGGTTTTTTTGAGTCAATGAATACGCGAAGCATAATGAATGACTTTGGTTCAAGGCTCAGATTTCATCGATAACCTACGTGTCGTGTTGCGTTACTTGGACAGTTGCGTTTCCGACAATTTGACTGCCACTCTGTTTTATCAAAATCTTATATTCGAAATAAACTGCTTCTTATTAAAACCTTATTCAACCTGTGTACAGACGTCCCCCCTCCCTCAGAAAAAATCGTCTCTTCTCCCGATTTTTTTTCTGAGTGAGGGGGGACGTGTGTAATTATTTCCTCATAAACTTCACCCTTCAAATGGAAACTAGTCATACATGACGTACCGGCGCTGCAACGACCGCGAGGAGACTGAGAACACACTCGTCCAAAATGGCTTCTTTCACAACAAGTGTTATTTCTCGAGCTAACGCTTTAGCTCTTCAAGGTTACAAGCATTGTTGTCACGTTATGCTACACTGTCCAGTGGAGGAAAAGCTGTTTGGTTTTTATCCTGTCAAACATGCAGTCCTGGTAAGTACAGTATATACCCGTAAACTCGGGTGATATATATATTTTTAATTTGCCTGCCGCTTACTTTAAAGGGCCGGCTACCTATTTCTTGTGTGTCTTGCCTTTATTAGAAAGGGAAGTTGAATGTGTACCTTAGATTTTATCGATAAATTATATTCAATACAATATTTACCATGACATGCAATATAATGACTCCGTTTCTTACTCTCTCGATCTCAATGCTTGTTCCCACGCTTTGTGATTGCTTTAGTTCTTCAACCTTCCCCGACGACTCTGGTAATCTACAATCGCAGACAGAAGTCTTGGGACACTTTTGCAGAAAGTTCCTGGACGTTTTCCAATCCCAACCCCCTCCCCCCACCACCCCTCTTCACTTCAAAAAACGTTGCACGCATATATCCAGAAGTTTTCTCCGAGTTTCAGCTTTGTATAGGGTGGGGGGAGGGAAAACTGCAAGAAAATTTCAAAAAGGAAACACTGTTTAATGAGGGAAACCAGAAATTACAGGAAGTTTTGAATATTGCATTACTGTCCCAAGGACTTTTTGTCCATGATTGTAGTTTTTATTAGAATAATAAGCAGTAGAGTGGAATCAGAATGCTGTTTTTACTAGATCGTAATGCTCTATGTTTCTGTTTATGACTGCGTACAACTCTGATTCCATTGATAGTGAAAATCAGCC